TAGCCTGTCGGTCAGAAGTGCAAGTGACAACCGGGGCTTGGGATTGGCATCTGAAGTTGGGGGGGAACAGTCTGGTAGGACTGAACCCTCAACCTGTGGAATCTGATGCTGTCTCCAGGTAAACAGTGTCAGAATTTGGGTGAATTGAGTTGCATTGTAGGACAGCCAGCTGGTCCAGGGTCCTGGGTCCAGGAACCTCAAAGAGGAACAGAGAAGGAAGTGACATGAAATAGCTGTTCTTTAATAATTCTATTATAAGAATTAATAATATTATCTGAGGAAATGTGGAAATCACACAAGCCAGGAAAGGAGAGACAAATGGCCATAAGATGCTTGTACAATAAAAAGAAATGTGAAAATTTGTTTGTGTGCTATAGAATTTTGCGTGTGTGTGTGCATTTTAAAGTATTATAACTTAATATACAATTATAACCCAGTTTCAGCTATCAGTATCGTAACAAAATAATTTCCCCATACAAAAAAATAAACACTTAAACATTTTAACGGCTACAAAATTATATTGAGGATGTTTCATTACTTACTTAACCATCTCAATCTTTGGGAAATTTAGTTGTTTTCCATAATATGCGATTATAAACGATGCTGGTATTAACATATATTTATACTAAAACATTCTGTATATTTTTTATTTTCTTACGCTAGACATATAAGAGAGCATGAACTGAGAAAAATTTTAATTGCTCCTAATTTATATTTCCACCAGCACTCCATAAAGTTTCTTACGTCAACAGCGTTACCATAAGGGATTAGTATTTCTTTAAACAATAATTTTGGAAAGGGAGCCTTGGAATGCAATCACAAAGGTAACCATTGCAGGACAGGAATTCTGAGTTTCCTTCCTATAGAGATTTTAAGAACTCTGCCTAAAGCCAAAGAGAAGCCCGATCTTCTTTTCTTCATTTTTTTATTTTTCCCAAGGATTGGCACCTGGGCTAACAACTGTTGCCAATCTTTTTTTTTTCTGCTTTTATCTCCCCAACCCCCCCCCCCCCCGTATAGTTGTATATCTTAGTTGCACGTCCTTCTAGTTGTGGGATGTGGGACACCGCCTCAACATGGCCTGACGAGCAGTGCCATGTCCGTGCCCAGGATCTGAACCCTGGGCCGCCACAGCGGAGTGCATGAACTTAACCATTCGGCCACGGAGCCGGTCCCTGGATCTTCTTTTATTTTATATGAATTTTTTTTTCTTTTTTACCCCTTTTACAAAAGAAAGATCCAACATCAAGTGATGGAGCCATTGGCTTCCACAAAGATGTTCACAGATCGCTGCATCCTTTGTCTCTCTTTTCTGGGAGGGGTACATATGATCAGGCTGTGTTAAACAACTTGATCACGAATATCATGTTGAGCTAGCTGATTTAATTACTCCTTCCCTGAGACTCCAGTGCCACAGGGACTGCTGGATTTGGAAAAAATGACCCGAGACCAAAAGGGGAAATTGGGTATGTTCCAGAACTTTTTAAAAATCTCTACTGCAGCAGAATGAATAAGACAACAGAGAGAAACTTTATTAAGCTGGATTTCAGGGTTTCTCAGCCTAGGCTTCCACTATAGGGATAATGTCCTGAGCAGAGAAATTTTTCTGTTAATCCTACATCACTTAGAAGAACTATTACTTACTTTTGGAGTGCCAGAACTGACATGTTGAACTAGGACATGGGAAGCAGGAAGAGTTAATAGTGGATGTCTGTGGAGTGTGCTGAGGAAAACTTTGTCTTGCCATGTCTCCTTAATGGACACAAGAAGATTCATACGTATAAGGGAACTCCATTTTCCTGTGAATATGTCCTCGCCTCATTGAAATACAGGAATTTTCTATCATTCAAAGGATGGAACGTATCTTAAAGAAAATTCTGAATGAGAATCAAAGCAAACAATGCTTTATTTTGATAAAAAAACAACAATAATAACAAAAACACTGAAGCAGTTATGCAGGTGCCATATCCCTCTGGTGTGCTGGGTTCCCTGCCCTGGTCTGAAGAGGAGAGTCCTCGCTACTACCTCACACAGCATTCCCTTCTGTATGTCTATGACATCTTCCATGTGTTTACTCCTGCAACACAAGGAGAGAACTCCAACTCAGTGACACCACGCCAATTGATGCACGCTGGCCATCTGGCCACTGAGGGCTCTGACAGTCTTCACTGATGGTCATGACCTCATGATGCATGGCACAGAACAATCTTCTCCACTTTGCCAAGTTTTAATATCCTCCACGATTACAGTGTTTAGACAACGAGTTACATGTTTATACGTTACAGTAGCTGGGAGGGGTTTCCTTCCAACTTCTGGTATTGGAGGGAAAGAAAGGACAACTTTGTGAGTCAGTCAAGCCATAGGAGACACACAAAGGCTGTTCACATTGTAGGAAATAATGAGATCTATTTTTTTAAAAAAATCAGTCTGTTGAGTGTTGAAGTCATTCTCTCCAACGTTTTGTCACTTGCAGAAATTCTTGTATGAATTCATTATAGGAGAAACCAAGTTTCTTCTGACTTTCTTATTATAATTAGAAACAGTGAGATGAAGGTGCTTAATAGGATTACTCCAGGGCAAGAGGGGTCCCTCTCTGAAGGGTCCTGTAGATGTGGATTTCCTACATACAATAAGTAGAATGATGGGATTTCATCTTTAGTTTGAGAAGAGGTCTTTTCATTAAACATTGTTCTTGGAAACAAGAGGGCGAGATGTTGGCAATAGTGGGGATAATGAAACTATTTTGAAATAAGCAGAACTTCAAACTGAGGAAACCTAGGGGATTGTTCCAGTGGCAATGAGGAAAGCGGGAACTGGAGAGACTATGCCACCAGCTTGGGGTAACAGGAACCTCACAGCTCCAACGGTGATCTGTCAGCATGAAGGAGGGTTAAGTGGTCTGAATCATCAGAATATGAAGAAAAGGACAAAAAGAAGACACCACAAGTCATCTCAGACCTAGGAAGAGACCCAGAGGCTTCACTTTGGGATCCTCCACGGTTAATAAACCTGTGTTCTTTCATAATTGTGAAAGGAGGCTCGCCTCCCCCAACAGTCACATTCAATTTCCATTATTAAGTTGACAAAATTAAGAATTTTCTTCTTTCTCCTCCAAAGCATACTGACAAATAAATACTAGATTTGCTGAGGCAGGATTCCTGTTTTGAGATCCACAGAAAAAAGAGCCTGAGTGAATTGTAGCTCTGTGAAAATAATCTTTGAAAGTGTCCAGTTAAGCTTATTTTAAGTACTGAGGCAATCAGATTGTAACCTACGGACTCAGAGGTCAGTGTGAGCTGGTCATTGACTTGAAATACATTTACAAAGAACAGTTACACTTGTCCTGAAACCAGTGTTTGTGCTTTAACTTTTTTAGAATCTGAATTTGGAGAAGAACCTGATTGCCCAGAATTATAACTTTAAGAACTTCATGAATAGAGATATTTCTTTCTTTTCACCTTCCTTTCTTCTATTTCATTTTCATTGTGAAATATACAAACACAAAAATGGATACATATTAGACAAGGAGAACTGATTGGTGGTTACCAGGGGAAAGGGGGAGTGGGGGGAGGGCACAAAGGGTGAAGTGGTGTACCCACAACATGACCAACAATAATGTACAACTGAAATCTCACAAGGTTGTAAACTATCATCATCTTAACAAAAAAAATGGATACATATAGATGGTTATTAAATAAACAACTGTGTGACATCAACCCAGGTCAAGAAATAGAGTACTACTACCACCAGTAGGTCTCCTGCATGCCCCCTACTGTTGCTAGACTCCTCTTGCCCCCAGGGTATCGAATATCCAAATTAGCATAATAACCCTCCCTTGCCTTTCTTTATACTCTTATCATGTCTATTTCTATGTCAAAATCATAGTCTGATTTTTGCCTGTTTTTTTTCCCTTGTGTAATTAGGGTAACATATATATACTGTTGCATCTGATTTCTTTCATTCAATATTAAGTATTTAAGATTCATACTCAGTGTTGCAAGTTAATCCTATTAATACACCATTTTGTTTATTCCTTCGATTGTTGATGGAGGTCTGGATTGTGTTCACTTTTGGCAGTTACAAATGATGCTTCTGAGACGATTCTTCTGTGTGTATATATATATATACACATATATATATATATATATATCTGGTTACCATTCACATGGATTTACTTATGGTATTAAGCAGGGATCATAGGGTAACCATATCTTCAGCTTTACTGGGGATATTGTCATTTTTTTTCTTCAAAGTCAACAAACCAATTGATAGTCCCACACTGTAATTCCCATATCTTCACATTCTTGCTGACACTTAATACTGTCCAGATTTTAATTTGAGGTTTCTGGTGGGTGTGTGGTGATGATTGTGGTGTAAATTTACTCAGCCTTTTCTTTTCTGTAATTCTGTCCCTGGTCAAGATTTGTGTGTGGGGGACAGGGTAGGAGGGAACCCGGGATTCCTACATCATCCTACATGAAAATGTTTGTGGGGCACTGATATCATTTATTTCTTTTACTTTACTTGGTATTTCAAGTGCACTGTCCAGTAGTGTGGCCAGGACACAGAGTCATTTCTCAAGGACCCCACGGAGTCTAAATATTAGACTCTAAATATTAGATCTTCTTGTTTCCCTTTGAAATAGCTTCTTTTGTCCATCTGATAAAACATCCTCGAGTACTCTTTTTAAAGACAATAATTAAGATATAATTGACATATTATATTAGTTTCAGGTGTACAACATAGCGATTCAATATCTGTGTATATTGTGAAATGGTCACCACAATAAGTCTAGTTAACATCCATCACTATACATAATTACATATTTTTTTCTTCTGATGAGAAATTTTAAGATCTACTCAGCCACTTTCAAATATACAATATAGCGTTATTAACTATAGTTAATATAAATATAAATAGAGTCAACAAGTGCGTTACATCCCCAAGACATTTATTTATAGCTGGAAGTTTGTTATTCAACCCTCTTCATCCCTTTCACCCCCCATCCCGAACCCCCACCTCAATTACTCTTGAGGGAGCATAAAATCCTCATACTGACTAATCGTGGGTACTTCCAAATTATTTGTCGGCTTCCACCCAGATCTTGCATTGAAAATCTCAAAGAGAGAGTTTAGATTTTCTTTCCTTCTCACTGCCTGACATGACCAAAATGTCATGCATCGCTACTGGCCTATTGCTACATCCAGGAGAGTCACTTGAGGAATAGACAAAACTGGAGGAAAAAACACATGGGTAATTTATCATTACATTGTCATCAAAAGCATGGAATTCACCAATGATGCCTAGGAAGAAATCGGGATCATTTATCGAATAGTGTAAAGAGAATATAGGAGATGTCTCAGCTGAAGAGAAAGAAGCTACAAAAAGTAATTATGAAAAAGATGGAGCAATAAAATGCATCAGGAGATTCAGGAGCATAAACAGAGTTAAGGAAAAAAATGACCCATATTTTCTTAGTTACTACTTATGGAGAGCAGGGTCAATTCCTAAAAGGTCAATTAATTCTGATTCTGATGTATTTGATGATAATGTTTATTACTAATGGTAATTTGTATTTTCAACTATCATCATGTAATGCTGATAATTTGCATATATAATTTATATTTCTATAGTTATTGCTTCTCTCCTCTTAGACTAGTGACCATTATTTTGAGCGACAAAAACAGTGCCTTGAGATTATCTGTCTGTTCATTATATGTGTTAAGTTATTGAATTTTTGTCTTGCATCAATTTTTATTTCATTAATTGATTGTCATTTAGATGATTCGGATGTTTACACATAATTATCAAGTCAAATCTCAGTATTTATTTAGCATTTCTCTCTTCAGTTATGGTTGGAAAATCTGCCCCTAACTTAATATTACAAAAACATATGCAGGTGTATCTCCAGATCGCTTTTACATTTAATTATTCATTCCATTTTGACTATTATAGCTTAGCCTAGAGAATTAAGTAAACATGTATTACTTCACTCCTACACACCGTTTAAACGCAGCTAATAGACAGTGAATAAACCGGCCCATCCCCGGCGGGATCAGGAGTTGCTTGCCCCGTATGCTGTCCCCAGGCTGCAGCCGCCTGAGGGGACTCGCCCGGGGCCACGCCCTCAGAGCTCACACCCGCCGTGCGCTCTCGCCCCGGGGCCGCCCCGCCGACCCTCCCGCGCGGCTCTGCGCGCACAGGCCGGACGCTCGGAGCCGGCGCCGGGCCGCCCTGCTCTGCCTCCCCGACGCAGCGGCGCCTCTGGACCGAGCACGCGCACCAGCGGCCTCCGCGCAGGCTCCGTGCCCGCGCACGCGCCCTCGCGTCGCGCTCCTGGCGGAGAGACCTGCGCTCGGGCCGGGCTCCGGGCGGTTCTTGCGGTGCCGTTCCACCGGGACTTCCGCGCTTCGGCGGCCTTTCTGACGAGCCGCCGGCGCCCAGAGATATTCAGGTTGGAGCGACACTTCCCAGAGAGCAGGGGTCACTCCAGATCTTCGGCTTCCATTCCGTTTTCGCGCGGTTCTCCCTCTTTGCAGGGTGAATTGAGCTCATTTGTGGATGTGTTAGCACAGGATGCGGGAATCCTGTGAAGCGAGTCAATTCGAGCCCGACGTGAACCAGGAGGGGTGGCGGTGGAAGCGCTCATAGCGTGGAGGCCGGTAGTAGGGACACCAGTCCTCACGGGACTCTCGGGCCTGAACGGCAGAGGACGGTGTGTGTCTGTGGGGACAGACGGGCAGCGTGTGGCGGGGTGTGTGTGTGAGAGACGCGAGTGAGCGGTGGGATGCGCCTCCGTGCCGTGGGTGTGGCTGCGAGGCTGTGACAGGTGCGTGGCTGTGCTGGGGTGACGGGGATTTGGTCGCATGTCCTTCACCTGTGCGGGTGTGATGGCTGTGGCTCTGTGGCGTCACTGTCTGGTGGCTCTGGGCTCCCTGGCGCTTCCTCCTCTTCTCTCCTCACAGCTGCTTGGCTGCAAGAGGGAAGTAGGATATTGAGCCCTAAAGGGAGATTTCCAGCCAGGGGGCACCGAGGTTAGTTTGGGAAAGCCTAGAAAGTTCTCTACTTGGGAGCTCTGAGGGGCAGCTACTGTCTCAGAGCCTCGGGGTTCCCAGAGCTCGGACCCCAGAAACGTGCTGTAAACCTGTTCCCGTAGTCCAGGCTCTGTCCTCTTTTCCATCTGTTTATGTGTATGAGCAGGGCGGGTGTGGACCTGGAGAGTGTCGTGTAAGGAAGTCATTCTGTGCCCCAAGAACAGCCTGGTGCCTCCTGACTTCCTCCTCAGTCCTGCCATCCCCAAAAGAAGAACCTTGATGAGAGGAAAGAATTGTTTTACACACAAAAGTCAACATTGAGGATGGTTGATTTTCTTTCATAAAATCATTGATTTTAAATTATTGACATATGAAAAATTTAACAAAACTTTGCAATAATATCTGATTTTTAGTTGTCTTCCCAAAAACATGTCCAAATACTAATTGAAATAGAAGAAAATAAGGAATCATTTTATTTACCCACATGCCTTGTGTTGCTGCTTCAGGGCACTGTCAGTCTTACTAATGTTCTCACTTTATGAGATGCTTGATCACATCGGATTTTTTGGGCAGGTTATGATTCACAAATGTCTCTTTGTTTCTGCTCCATTTCAGTGGGAGGGAAATTTCCTCTCTTCTAGAAACTCTTGATTTATAAATTAAAAATGCATTCTCAAGTAAAAGTCCTGATTTTCCTCCCCTTTTTTTTGTGAGCATTATCAGAGCAGGGCTGATAAGCACAATTTTATCCTAAAAAGGCAAATTGTTTCTTTTATAATACCCAGTTAGGGGACATGCAATGTTCTTCAATAAAAATAGCTAACATATTTATATGGGATTACAACATATTATTAAGTTTTTATGTAGATTATATTTCTCTAAGATATTCATGCTTAAGAAGTGATCTTCATACTCTTGCCTCTACTGATGAAAAACCCAAGACACTAAAATGTCATGAACTCTAAGAGCAGTTACATTTAGAAAATCTGAGAACAGAATCTATGTCTTAAGTTTCAGCTGGATACCATTCCCCAGTTATGAGTGTGTACTTTACACTGGGACCAGTATCATCATGATTAATAGTCCTGTACATGCCATCACATAGCAGGACCAAATTAATTAACCTGTTCCCTCTTAGATTTTTGTGTTTCTGGTTTTGGCTGTCAAAAACTGCGTATTGAAGATACTCGTATCTCTTCTAGCCCAGTCTCTTCTAGCCAGTGTTTACGTACTCACTGACCAGATTATTCTCTCCTGTGTGCTCAACTTAGTAATATTAAGAGCTATAATGGAGGAAGGAAGAAATTAAGTCCTATAAAGAAATGATTTGAGCTTCCTGTGTCAGGACTGTAGTTGCATGAGAGATGGAGATCCCATTTGGCCAAGCAGGGAAAGACTGACATTCTCACAGACATGAGTTTTCTAGATACATGTGATAAAGCCCAGCAATGAATGGTCTCTGGAGGCTGAGATCCAATGCTCTGTGAGGTTTTTGGAATTGAATAGCAATATGAATTAGTGATTGTAATATATGGATCATGGTTCTTGGTAAGGAATTTCTGAATGATGAGTACAATGAATATTTTATTGCTGACTAGGATGTGCTGAAATTGAATGACCTTGGTATAATTCTGCATCATCATACATCGAGTATTCTCTAAATCAGGAACCGCAAAAGTGTTCAGTGAGGGATTGTTAATGGCCATAAAAGAGAATAAAAACATAAGCTGTTTAAGTTATCAGAGATGAAGAACAGAAAAGACCTTAGATATGTTGTCCAACCTAGTGTATAGAAACCTAGTCATCTGGAGATGATTACATCCATTATAACTGTAAGTTTGAGTGCTATGCAGCCATTCAAAATATTTGTTAAAATAAAACTATGTGGCATAGGATTTAACATAAAGAACTTGAGGATTGAAGACATCCCTTAGTTTATCAAACCCTCTCCTTTTTCTATCCCTTGTGACAATGTCTTTATTTCATTTGGAGTGTTTAGCCCATTTACATTTAATGTAATTATTGATACAGTTAGATTAAGGTCATCCAGTTTATTATTTTCTGTCTTTTCCATCTGGCTTTTGTTCCCATATTTCTCTATTTTGTCTTCTTGGGTTAATTAAGTATTTATTTAAAATTCTATGCTAATTTGCTTCTTTGCTATACTTTGTGATCATTTTTAGTGGTCACGGTCTGTATTATATATTCTTAACTATTCAGAATGTACTTAGAGTTAATATTGAACTCTGCTCTTACTCGTCAAGTGTAAGAACCTTGCAATTTATAGCCCCATCTTCTATATTGCAGCTGTCATATATATTACATCTATCTTTATATAAAACTATAATACCATGTTTTTAATAACATCTGTATTGATATAGAACACAGCACATATTTAAAGTATACACTTGGATTCATTTATTTAAAATTTTGATATAATAGACATATAACATTGAAGATCTGGCCTAAGAACATGAATGTGCTTGCATACAGGACATTTCATGGAGCTGACTTGCGGCTGAGCTTGCTTGCCAACAGGATGTTCTGCCCAGTCCTCTTATGGCCCTTCCGCGGAGAACATTGCCTGCAAACAGGAGTGTTCTCAGATCCTGGAATTCAGCCTAGGGGTGGGCAACAAACACAGCATTGTAAGCACGTGAGCGCGCTTGCGTAGAAGCATGTATGATGAGTCACCGCCTTGGGCTAGTTGCCGGCTTTGTCTAGGGGGATATAAAAATAAACAGCCCGTGCCAGACGGGGCTTTTTTTCTGCCACTGTTGACACCGGTGTCCGTCTCTTTTTTTGGGCCCCAACTTTCTTCATTTCGTCAGCAACATCACATTATATTAGTTTCAGGTGTACAACATAATGATTCAATATTTGTATATATTGAGAACTGATCACACTAATAAATATCCATCGCCACATATAGTTACAAATGGATTCATTTTGAAATGTGTATACATCCATGAAACCATGACTACAGTCAAGATAATGAACAAATCCATCACTCCCAAAGCCTTTGTAATCCCTCCCACCTCCCAGCCTCCTCCCCCTCTGCCTCCAGACAACCACTGATCTGCTTTCTGTGACCATAAATTAGTTTGCAATTTCTAGAAATGTATATAAATGTAATCAAACAGTATGTTTTCTTTTTGGTCTTGTTTCTTCCACTCAGCATAATTACTTTGAGATTCATCCATGTTGTTTCATGTATCAGTTCAATCCAATATATAGCTGAGTAGTATTCCATTATATGGATATATTATAATTCATTTATCCTTTCTCCTGTCAACAGACATTTGAGTTGCTCCAGTTTGGGGCTATTATGAATAAAGCTGCTATAAACATTTCTGTGAGAGTATCTGAATGGGTCTAAGTTTTTATTTCTCTTAGGTAAATACCTAGGTGTAAAATTGTTAGGAAGTAAGGTAGTTGTATGTTTGACTTTAGGATGAATTGACAAGCTGTTTTACAATTTTTAAAACTGTTTTATATTCCCACTATTAATTTATGACTGCTCCATTGACTCCACATCTTTATCATCCTTCTTACTATCAGACTTTTGAATTTTAGCCATTCCCTCTAAACTCATTTTTAACCTGAATGTCACAAATTTTGACATGTTCTATCTTCATTATTATTCAGGTCAACATATTTTAAGTTCCATTTGAAATTTCTTCTTTGACTCATGGGTTATATAAATATGTATTGCCTAATTTCCAAACATTTCCCAGATATTTCTGTTACTGATTCTAATAATTCCATTTTGGTCTAAGAATACACTCTGTGTGATTGGATATTCTAATTTATGAGACTAGAGTTTTGTTTCCCAACATATGGTCTAACCTGGTGACTATTCCTCATGCGCTTAAGAGAACAGGTGTTCTGTTGTTGTTGGGTGGAGTTTTCTATAATTGATAATTAAGTCTATTTGTTTGGTAGTGTTTTCTTGTTTGCTATTACTGATTTGCTATCTATTTACTGAGAGAAGTGTGTTGAAGCATCTTTACCATTTTATTTTTTTCCTATTACTTTTCACTTCTGTTTGTTTCCTATGTTTTGAAGCTATTATTATGTACATTCACACTTGTGAATGTGGGCTTGAGGAATTGGATACTTTTTCATTATGAAATGGCTTTCTGACTCTGGTAATATTCCTTGTTCTGAACTCTCCTTTGTCTGGTATTATCACAGCCACTACAGCTTTCTTTGGATTAGTGTTTCCATGATATTCTCTGTCTATCCTTTTACTTTTGACCTATTTTTCTTTAAAATGTATATATTGTGTAAATGTGTACATATATTAAAATGTGTAGTATTGTCCTTTCTTTCTTAAACCCAGCCTGACAATCTCTAAATGTAATCATTAGACAATTTACAATTGATGTAATTATCTATATCAGCAGTTCTAAAACTTTAACATGTATAAGAGTCACCTGGAGAGCTTGTTAAGCCATACTTTTCTGGACCCATCACCAGTATGTTCGGTGGAGCCCATGAATCTGCAGTGCTATCAAGTTCATCGCTCGTTCTAATGCTGGTCCAATAACCACATATCTATGCATTTATGTCTCTATGTACCACTGGTGCCTTTTTTCCTGTCTGCCTATCTGCTGCTTGTTTCCTTTTCCCACTTTCTTGCCTTGTCTTAAATTGAATTTTTTCTTTTGTATTTCCACTTTGACTTATCAGATATACCCCTTTATTTTATTTTTTTGAGATTATTCTGTGGTTTCCAGTATTTACCCCAGTCCATCCTCAAATACTGTCATACTGCCTAGCATATAAGGTAAGAATGTTAAACAGTATATTTACCTTTGCCTGCCTATCCTTTGGATTATTTTCATCATAAGCTCACTTCTGCCTATAATGTACAGCATACAATGCATCATTATTATTTTTGCTTTATGCATTGAGTCCTTTTTTAAAGAAATTTTAAAAATTCATTCTTCCACCACTTCCCCTCCAAAATTCTTACACCTGGCAGACACAAACTAAGGAGATCTCTCAGAGCTTCTTTTTATCTATTAATTTAAACCAAGGGGTAAGAGAATTTGATTGGAATACAGCCACACCCATTCATTTATATATTGTCAATGGCTGCTTTCCAGCTACAACAGCAGAGCTGAGTAACTACAAAAATATTTATCATCTGGCCCTTTATGAAAAAAACTGCTGATCCTCAGTTAACAGCTCTAGAGGAACTACCGGAATGAATGTCACTCAGGGGGATGCACTGTGGTGGTGCTCGAGGCGCTCTGCCCTGGGCTGCTTCCCTCCTCCTTGGCTTTCACTCACCAAGTGGACACAAAGTAGAGAGCAGCGTTTGGTCTTCCTAAATATACGTTAGTGACAAGGTAGCTGGCATATTTAGGGGATTAAGAATTCCTTAATAACCAGACACCGAATAGCCAGACAGCTGAGGAGGACAGTGCAATAAAACCACATAGAACAATGAATAAAACCACATATAACACTTGAGGCAGAATATAACATGCTTGACCATGGCATATTATTCTCTTGAAAAACTGCTCAGTTTTTCTTGTGAATATTTTATTCATAAGTTTTGTACAAATATTCAAAATTGGTATTAATATTGATTTCATACATTAATACTCAAAATTAAGAATTTAATAGTCTTAAATTTTTGTTATCGTCATTACATGTTCATCAAAAGTTAGAGGTGCAGGCCTGGTGGTTAAGCTTGCATGCTCCACTTTTGTGGCCCAGAATTCGCAGGTTCAGATCCTGGGTATGGACCTATACACTGCTCATCACAACATGCTGTGGTGAGCATCCCACATACAAAATAGAGGAAGATTGGCACAGGTATTCGCTCAGCGACAAACTTCCTCAAGCAGAAAGAGGAAGATTAGCAACAGATGATAGCTCAGGGCCAATCTTCCTCACCAAAAAATAAAAAAAAATCTACATTCAACTTGATTGCAAACCCATATGGCTCTGTTTTTTCATTTCATTTCCTTTCTTGCTATTTTAATATTAGAGTGTTAACCACTTTCCCAAATTCATCTGACAGACTAGTGTTTCCATTTCTACTTTGTTTGAAGCCAACAGATTACCTGGGTACCTGCCCCAGCCCAATTCCTTTGAGCACTTCTCATCCTGGTAGTACCGCTGGGTCCCACATAAAAGGAGCATCTCTAAATGAGCACCTCAGTGAAAATCAGGTATCATGTGTTCTTGGCCAATAGTATGCTGGAGCTCAGGGCCATTCTACAAGAGTATAAAATGCCATGTGGCTGCTTAGCCGTGTTTCGATACTTACCAGCAAACTTAACAACAGTGCAGATTCTTTAATGTGTGAAGGTTTTAAAGCAGAGTGAGAAATATCCACTAATGGTTTTATTTGTTTAATGTACCATGCCTAAAGTTATAATTTGTCAAATAATTGTCATTTCATTAAACTATCAACATCTCTCTAGATTTGCACTGTCAGATACAATAGCCACTAGCTACTTGTGGCTATTTAAATTTAATTGATTAAAATTAAATAAAATTAAAAATTGAATCCTTCACAGGTACTAGCCATAACCAAGTGTTCACTAGCCATGTGTATCGGACTTTACAGATAAAGAAGTTTTCTATCATCATAAAACTTTCTATCAGATAGGAATATTCTGAATACCTACATTTGACATAAATAAAGAGAATTTTATGGATTTAACTAATTAAATACTGCCACACATTTAATCATTTGCAAAATTAATTGAGTACTATAAAGCATATGGTTAAAATCATAAATCTTTGTCAGATATTTGAAAGCATCTTAATTCTTGTCTAGTAGAAACAATATGCAAAAATATTGTTTAAAAATAGTAAGTTGGAAAAAAGTTGACTTACATTTTGTTATTACCATTTTTATGTTTATACTTACTCATATTCTCATTTCTTACCGTATTTCCCCTGTGATTATGATAACTGGACGATTTTAGATGATTCCTGCAGTTTCCATGTTTTTGCCTGACACAAACACACAAAGTGTAATCACAAAAAGTGAATGTTTTGGATCTAGCTTATCAACCAAATATTTCTCAGTCAGGGCCTAGTTCTTGGTGACCTTGCGATGGAGGCCCCTAAATATCTTTCCTTTATTTCCTTCTTACAAACACGTGATTGAGATGGGTTAAGTTATAGTTTCAGACCCTTCCTCCCCTATGATGGAGTAACAAGGATAGCAGGCACTCTTTCACCTCAAACAACTTAAAAATATAAAAAATATGTGTGAAATGACAGTGTTCAGACATGAGTCAACTGCTCAAGACTAAGATCCCTGACTGCATAAACAGTCAAGGTGAACCCTATTATTTCTCCAAATGTAATGAACCAATAGCCACAGTGGAAAAACTCCATAATATATGGAATATTGGGTAAAGTACACAAAAGGAGACTGGCTTAATAGAGAGGAAAAATTAGACCTATGACATAAAAAAGCCCTTAACTTTTTAAAAGCTATTCTGGTCTTGCCCTAACAAAGCTTAAAAATGCAACTTGAAAGGATCAAACACTTTCCAAGTTATACCACCTGCAAAGAAGCAGGAAAATGTGATACACAATCAGGAGAAAAATCAATATTCAAACTGACTCAGATATAGAATTAGTAGACGGGTTATTAAAATAGTTATTCCTATGTTTCATATGGTGACAAAGGTAGAGCAAAATATGAGCATGTTAAGAGAGTCATGGGAGATTTTTAAAAACCCAAATTAAACATATGGAAATGAAAACTACAATGCCTGAAATGTAAACTACATTGGGGAAATTAACAACTGATTAGGTACTGCAGAGGAAAGATTATTGAGGTTGAAGGTATACTAATCAAAAAGAAACAGAATGAAAAGACTGTAAACTTATCAGTGAGCTGTGAGACAACTTTAAGTGAACTAATATTGTCATTAAAGCTCCCAAAGAATGAAGAAAGAGGAGGGGACTGAAAAATTATTTGAAGAATATGGTAAACAATTTTCCAAAATTGATGAAAATTATAGACCTAAAATTAAAACTCAGTGAACTGTAATCATAGGAATGTAGAAATATAAACCAAGGCTGATCATAACCCATGATTTTGAAACAGTGATGAAGAGGAAGTCAGCAGAGAAAGGAGACTCATTATATAAAGAACAAAAACAAGAATAAAATCAGATTTCTATTTGGAAACAAGAAGGTAGAAGGCAATTGAGTAAACTCCTGCAGTGCTGAAAAGAAAAATATTTCCTTGAATTCTATGCAAAGTAAAATATTTTCATAAAAAAGTAAAAATTAGTGTATGTCCAATTTTCTCACAAACATAAGAAATGAAAGAATTGATTTAACAGCATACCTGCACTATAAAAATGTTAAAGTCCCCCAGACAGATAGAAAATAAAATCAGATGAAAACTTAGATCTACACAAGACATGATAAAAATGTATGTAAGTATATTTCTTTCTTATTTTTTAAATTAGTAAAAAGATAACTGAGTGGGACCCTCAGAATGGTGTAATGAGGAGCTTGGCAATTTTCCCCACAAAGCAACGATGAAACTGCACAACGTTATTAAAACAATCACTTTCACTCTGTGGAAATTGATCAAACACATAAATGAATCAAGAAGCATTTATTCAAGCAAAACTACTGAACTCCAGGAAGGGACAATGGGAGTGTCCAGAGTTTTAGCCTAGGGATGCTCCCATCTCCCTCTGGCTTTGTTTTACCAGAGCTGAACAAGCTCTGAAAACCAGCAGCTTTGAGCTCTGGGAGACTGACATGAGTTGGAACGGAGTACGGAAAAACCCCATGCCTGTAGGTGTTGTGCAAAAGGAATTTGAACCTCAGTGCAAACAACTGGGGATGGATAGCCAACACAGACGGTCTGAGGGTGCAATATCATGAGACTAACCAGAGGTTAATCAAGACAATTCTGGAAATGAGAAAGCCAGAGAAGTTCTTAATAAGATTTGACATATTTGTGGTGGTCCAGAAGGTTGGTTTATGCATAAAGTTGTGAGAACCCTAGCCATCTGTTCATCTCTGGCTGAGTATGCAAAGAGGTGACAGGAGAAGGCCCTGCAGAAAGTAAAAAGCCAAGGATTTGTTTGTTTTATTTTATTGAGGTCATAATAATTTATATCATTGTGAAATGTCAGTTGTACATTATTGTTTGTCAGTCACTATATAAATGTGCCCCTTCACCCCTTGTCCCTACCCCCCAACACCCTTCACCTCTGGTAACACTAAACTGTTCTCTTTGTGTGTTAGTTTATCTTCCACTTATGAGTGAAATCATATGGTGTTTGTCTTTTTCTGTCTGGTAAAAGCCAGGGATTTTAATGTGTTTCCCAACCAACACTCAGAGCCATTGCCAAGGGGCAGAAGGCTCACCTAGTCAAGGGGCTTATGGACAACATCTGAGCATTCATTGGCTGACCACTGAGCTATGCTGACCCAGAAGTGACTCTGTGAAGCCAGGCTTAAAGGAAAAAGAGAATTTAAAAAATAACAATAAACTGGTTGGAGACATCAGCATCTCCACGTTGCAAAGGAGACAGATTCCAGAATTAGTCAAGTCAGTACACAAAAGCAACAATATCAGTTCCTGGGGGAGTAGTAGATCTAAATCCAGAGTGGTGCAATGTAATATCTAACATGTCCAGTTGTCACAATGAAAAATGAGAACTGCAAAGAAAAGAGGAAAGTGTAACCGTACATGAGAAAAAGTCAACAGAAACTGTTTCTGGAGGAGGATGAAGATAGTGGACTCAGGAAAAAATACTTAAAAGGAGCTATTATAAATATATTCAAAGATCTAAATGAAACCATATTTGATGAACTAAAATAATGTATACAATGGCTCATCAAATAGAGAATCAATAAAGAGAGATTACTTTTTAAAAAGAACATAATAGAAATTCAAGACATAAAGTGTTGAATATCTGAAATGAAAAGTTCCAAAGACAAGCTCAACAGCAAATTGAGTTGTCAGAAGGAAGATTTTGTGAACCTGCTGATAGGTCAACGGAGATTATCCAGTCTGAAGAAACAAAGATAAAAGGAATAAAAATTAACAGAATGTCACAAACTGCTGGGAAAACAATCAAGCATAGCAAGCATACACATGACAGAAGTTCCAGGAGTGTAACAGTTACTTTGAAGGAGAGTAGAGAAAAAGGACAGAAGAGTTCTTTGAAGAAATAATGGCCCCACATTTCCGCAAATGAGGAAAAACCAATCTACAAATCCAAGAAGGTCAACAAACTTCAAGTAGGATAAACAAAAGGAAATTCACATATAAACACATCATAGTCAAGCTACTGAATGCCAAAGACAAGTAGAAAATCTTGCAAGAAGCAAGAGAAAGAGGACTCATTATGTACAAGGGAACCACAAGCAACTGACAGCTGACTTCAGATACAATGCAGGCCAGATGACACTGAAAATGCATTTTTCTCTTTCTTTCAACTGGTTGTAAAGACGATTGCACAAAATGATGAAAAAACTGTAATGTTGGACCTATATAAATATGTAATATATGAAAAGTGCACAAAGACAGGGAGGAATGGAGCTATATCGAAACAGTTTCTAAACCTTACTGGAAGTAAATATTAATCTGAAGAGTATTATGTTAAGATGTATATTGTCTTCCCTTGAGTAACTACTAAGAAAATAATTCAGGCTATTAAGAGAACCAGTAAAATGTTTCTCTAGAAAAAAATATATTTGATGTGAAAAAGCAGTAAAAAAGGCACAAAAACACATAAGACATAGGAAACAGCAAAATGGGAGATAAAAAGTTAACAATATCGATAATTAAATTAAATTTGAAATGTATGAAGTACTCCAATTGAAAGCTGAGATGGTTGGGGCCAGCTCTGTGGCACAGTGGTTAAGTTCATGTGCTCTGCTTCAGTCACCCAAGGTTTGCAGGTTCTGATCTCAGGTGGGACCTATCAGCTCTCGTCAGGCCACACTGCAGCAGCATCCCACTAAAGCAGAGCAAGATTGGCACAGATGTTAGCTCTGCAACAATCTTCTTCAAGCAAAAAGAGGAAGATTGGCAACAGACGTTAGCTCAGGGCCAATCGTCCTGGGGGTGGGGGGGGGGAAAGCAAAGATTGTCAGTCTCAAAACAAAACAATATACAACTGTATGCTGTTTACAAGAGACAAACTTTAAATTCAAATAGACAAATAGGTTCAAGGTAAAATCATAGGAAAGTACACCATGCAAATAGTAACAAAATAGCTGGAGTGGCTATATCAATATTAGGCAAAATACTGTTTGATGCAAAAAATGTCACTAGAGACAAAAAGGAATATTTTATAAGGAGGAAAAGGGAAACTTACATAAATATTTAACAATTATAAACATAAACATTTGACAGCTGAGCAACAAAATATATGAAGCAAGTCTGGCAGAATTAAAGAAGATATAAACAAATTGTCAACAATAGCTGGGGTCTTTAATATGCTATTCTCAGTCTGGGTCCAATGAAGGAAGAGAAACCTCACAGTAATTTGAACAGGAAACTGTTAATATAAATGACTAACTATTAATTAATACTTACATAAGGGGATTAGAATAATGACAGATTAGCAAGTAAGTAAACAGTACGCTACAGAGTATAAGACTACAGATATAAGGAACACTAAACAGGGCTGAGATTGAGAGCCCATGGGAGATCCACTTGACAGGACTGAGATCCAGACCTTGTGGGAGAGGGCAAGGCCTTTACTTACTGACAGGACTCTGCGAATAAGCCATGGTAATGGATCTCAAGAAGCCCACCCCCCTAGTGTGCTGCGTAAAGCTGTCTATGGGGCATCCCACCAGAGATACTTAAGTACGAAACTGTGCAATGGAGGACACACATGGAAACTGCTGATTACTGTGAGCTGCTGGCACCAGGCACTGGAGAAGCTCTGAGTGACACAGGAGCCAAGGGGATACTCTGCCATAAAATAACCCAAGGATCGGTGCGTGATTAAAGAGCACAGATGTATTTACAGAGCAGCCAGAATGAATGAAACTATAGCTGAGTCAATAATTTTTTAATTGTCACACAGCATTCCCAATAATGGAGAGAAAAACTAGATTAAAAAATGAATATGAACAATCTTATCTGCCAATTTGAATGACATCACATGTGTAGAATAGAGGCAGAGACCATATGCTAGGCTATAAAATGACTCAATATATTTAAAAGAACTGAAATAATGTAAAGTTCTCCTATCACAACATAATTGAATTAAAAAGCAACAGAAAGAAATGTGGGAAAATCTCAAAGTTTGGAAATTAAACTACATGCTTCTAAACCGCCCATATGTCAAAGAAGAAATCACAATGGAAACTAAAAATAATTTGAATGAATGAAACAAAAACAACATCTCACAACTGATAAGAAGTAAACGAGGATGCAGAGGAAAATTTATAGCCTTAACACCTATATTAGAAAAAATTATTTTAAATAAATACCTAATTGTTCACCTTAAGAAGGTAGAAAAGAGGAGCAAACAAAACCAAAAGCAAGCAGAAGGAAGGAAATGATCAAGAATAGAGCAGAGATGGAAGTCTATTAGAAATAATCAAAAATTACAGCAAAGATACAG